GGCTGAAATTGTGTCATACTCTTATTTTTAGTATGCTATTATGCCTCTGGGATATATTTTATTTATCAGGGAATTGGACCTAAACAGATGTTGTAGCAGTTTTCTAAAGGCAACTCATTGTGAGGTGCCTGAAAGGCTGCAAGTACGTTTTGGGGAAGGGGCAGAGTGAACGTGTGAGCCAAATGCTTCACATGCATCTTTTTCAGTCGTGAGCCAAATTCTTCACATGCATCTTTTTCAGTCCTGAGCCACTGTTTAGAAATTAGTTAATTTTTCAGACAGTGATCTAAAGTATGTCACTGAAAAAAGATTTGTCATTTTTATAAAGAAAAATACTGAGGTTCCCCTGAAGTTTCTCTGATTTAAAGCAACATTATGAAACAGAACAAGCGAGAATTTGCTGAATAACTTGGCAAAACATACCACGCAGTAGTACGGGATTGCCCAAAACCAACAGTGACTGTGACAGATATGGTGGTGAACTGCAGCGTTTCCATCCAGCGGAGCTGCGAGCCCTAACGAACAATAAGGGAACTGTAAGATGCATGGGTAAACTTCTTCAGTGTCAGCACAAAAAGCTGACTCCTGCTTCCCCAGGCAGCATCTTGGAAAGGTGCCCTGCTTTCTTGGTCATGGTTATCCTGTCATGGGGCTATGGGATGGGGTCTCTAAGAAGAGAGCATTTTCTTAAAGATGCTCTCTTAATTCTCTTAATTAGCTCTCTTAATTCTCTTAAAGATGCTCTCCAAGCAGATGAAGCATCATCTTGGTGATGACACCAACAGGTTCAATTAGGGACAGTTAACTGGGAGAGGTTAAAAAAGGGGTGAGGGTGGTTGGGAATTTAGGTTGAATATAGGGGGGAAAAAAAACATTTCATCACTTATTTCACCAAACACGGTTGGACAAGACATGGCAAAACTACATGGGGAAGGCACTAGGAAGTAAGACAGAATTTCGTAACATCGTGGGTACGGGCTGTGCAGCAGACAAAGGACACCGATGGGGGAGGACTGCAGTCACAATGCTCAGAAACGGAGGAAGCACAGAATTGCGAAAGCTTTTGTCAATAGAATTTCATACCCAATTATTGTCACGGGACTCTCAAATTTTATTTCCTGCAATTCTTCTGGCAAAAGGCCAGTTCTCACAGGACCTCTGTAATTTTTTTTAATCCTATCAATGAAATCATCTTTCCTTTGAGGCACTCCATTTTCTTCCCTTTTAAGTGAGCTGATTTGCCTTAGAATTTGGAACTGTTTCACGAGAAAACTGACCATAAATAGTTAAGTTTTCTCTTACAGAGCTGAACTAACATCAGCATGCTAACATCTGCAAGCCTTTGATTTTGTTAGAATTATACTAGACAGAGCCCACCCGCAGCGGATGCCATCCAAAGAGGTTTTTTTTCTTCTTCTTCTTAACTGGGTGAAAAATGGTTGTGCCAGGTGGCAAATTCGAACACAGGTAAAGAGCAGACAATACGCACCAGCACGGGATCTTTAGGAAATGCACGGCCTCTTCTGTGTGCTGCAGCTGTTGGGTATCGGCTGTCTCTCCGAGCAGGGATCACAATCAATTTCTAATCTCACGCCTGCTTCTGGGCTGGGCTAGCAACGCAGAGTCAGAGTTGACTGGAACCTACCAGATAGCCTAAGAATTAACAGATTATTTTATTGCTTACCAAATCCAGGTGTTGGGATCAACTCACTGGGGGCTCTTTTTGCCAAAGGCCTTCGATCTACCCACCCTCCCTGCCCAAAAGTGCAGTCAGTAGGGTAGGTGTCAGGGAGCAGAGCCTGATTCAACAGCAGCTATTGCTCATTTTCTTGTCACTCTATAGGTCACTGGCTGGCAGAAATCTCTGTGGAAATGCATCTAAAAATATTTTGAAAACTTGGGCTCCGCTGATGAGAAAATTAAGTGGTGACTCATGTTCCCATCAGCTCCAGACTTGATTACTGCAATATGATGGACTGAGAAGCTGATACTCCACCGAGACTGCAATTTGCTTAGGGGAGCAGTAGAGAGGCCTCATTGGCACCAATTGCTTCCAACACATCTCTCTTGTCCTTTTAATCACTAACAAACTTAATTTAACTTCTCACTGAAGATCTCACTCTCCACCTTTCTGGCAAGAGAACAATTTAGAGGCTGCTTTCGTGACCTCTGCTACAGCTCTAGATGCCAGCATGCAGCAGACCTGCCTGCAGCAACGCCTCGCACCTGCATTTCCTGGCACCGCTTTCTCTAGCCCTGCACACCCAAAGCCATGGGGCAGCCCTTGCCCATGCTACTCCAGAAGATTACTTACCATCCTGCAGGGTGTTCTCTGTTGAATGAGAATTTTACAGGAACCGTACACATAAACTTTAAAGAATTGAATTCAAAATGCCTCCTCAAAGAAGTCACAGTCTAATGATCACAAGCGATAACGTGGTTTAAGCAAGAAAACGGCAAAGAGGAGACAACCTCCCTCTTCTGACACTGTTATGATGCGATGCTCTAGTTTTGGTCTGGGAGGTTGGGGCTACCCATTACCCGTGGAGATCGGGACAAAAGAAATAGGGACAAAGAGATTGGGTTTGCTAGATGCTGGGAAGGGCAGGCCATCAAACCTGAAGTAAAATACTCCCCATTTACTCTCCTCATGTGCTACATTATCACCGAGCTTTGTTAGAACAATGGCAGGGCTTTTCAAACAGCTTCCCTAGGGAGACGCTCTGCGCCGTAACAGCCTTTTCGCTGGAGATGTGCAAGTGTAACCAAGGGCTGAATTTAGTCTCTTGTCTATTTAACGTGTTTGCGAGGGACCGTATGCGTTTCTGGCACTTTATAATAATAGTAATATAAATGCATTTGGATTATAACAAAATGGAGAAACTATGATTTAGCCCTTTACTGTGTTGTAATTCCGAAATGCATCAACATCTATTTAAGTGCAAAATAGCCTACAGTTTACAAATACAGTGCTGCGATCATCTGCTGTAAAGGTTCTGTATGGGATTATGATTCAATACAAAACACAATTCAGTGTCTGAAATGTCATTTTTAATGTCAGAATAACATCAAAAAAGTAGCTCTTTCTCCATATGCAGTCTTGCAAAAAAATATATTCCAGGGACTCGGTCCTTTCTAGCGATTTCTACATATATAACTGGTCATCTCTTATGCACGTATGCACTTGCACATAAATAAATGTGCTTGCAGACAGACAATATTTCATCTTGCCTTCTAACCTCCTGCCACCAAGATATTTCCACAGAAAACTGTACACAAATCAAACGACCAGCTCCGCTTTCCCTGGCTGCCAGAATAACATAGGGGACTACTTCTGGAAAACCAAACTGCTGGATTACTCTTCTTTTGCTCTGTGAACAAGCACAACTGCGCAGCTTCTGCTGAGATTGCCTTTTCCGTCATATAACCCATTTGCACTAACTAAAGGTTCTACGAGGAAAAACACAACCACAATTTTAACTACATAAAAAATTATTTATCTTGGACCTATTACTGGGGTCATCAAAAGCTTCTCAATTTAGTGCACAAAAAGGGAAATAAAACATTTGAGTAACTTAACACAAAGTGCTAAGATTTCCTGTGACCTCTGAAGAGCTCTTTTATTGTTTGGGTGCTTTTTTCCTCTGCTATCATTAGATGGGATTATAGATGTGCAGAAGATAAGGAGTGTTGATGATCAAGAAAATCCTTATGTTTTAACATGGGCGAAGTTCTTGTTCGCCATCAGTTTTGCCCAATTATGTTCAATGCCAGGTATCTCTTAGTTAAATTTAAAGCCAAGAAGTTGAAAAGATTCAGAACTGTTCTAACCCTCTACTGAAAAACTGGTGGAGTTCAATAAATTAATTTTCAGTTGCTAATAATTTGCAGTATTCTGAGGACTTTCTTTCCCCCAGTTTAGTTCATAAAATATTTCTGTACAGTTCACAGATTTTTTTTTTTTAAAGAACAAGCAAACAGTTCAAAAGCTTACCCACAAAAGAACGAAACATAGGTAACAGAGGTAAAAAGTTGACCTAGAGGATAATTCCATCTTGTTTTCCTATTAACAAAATTAAATTCAAAACCATTCTGTTTATTAAAGACATATAGGCATAATAACAAGTCATAAACCAAACATCTTAACAGTCTTTAAACATAACAGAATTGATATGCATAATGAAGTTTCATTAAGTACGGATTTAAAATATGTATTTCAGTTTTGCATTATATTCCCTTTAGACCAACACCTCCACTCATACACAATATTTAGGCTGCCCCAAGCAATCAACAAGGAATTTGTAAAAGCTCTAACAAAACTCCATCTTAAAACAGTTTGAAGTATTCTTAAATGTAGAAGAAATTTAACACAGAAAAAAAGGATGTCTTCAGTGGAATCTAAGCAAGTTGTTGGATGTACTGAAAGTCAGAGATTCAGTACGTAGAGGTAGCTCAGTAAGGGTACTTGCAGTGTTCTGACTATTTAGCATTGACACAACCACAGTAAGTTACTGTATGCTTGAACCCTTCCTATATATTTTAAAAAAGCAAGCACTTTTTCTGGGCCTATTGCTTTGCCATTCAAAACCAACAGAAAGAGTCAACGATTTTAGTGGGATTGGGATTCAACCCAACTCTCAAAGTTCAGGTTTATTGAAACAGAACAAAAAGAAACTGTTCTGAGTCTGGACTCTCTGCTGCCAGCAGGGTTTTTAGGCCCAGACAAAGGAATTTTTTCCCACATGGAGCCAGATACCAGTTAGCATGCATAAGGAAGGGGAACCTTGAATTGGGCCCAAGAACACACATGCTGTTCTCTCCCATCACTTGCAGGTTGGCCTTGTTGGTAGATCTGACTATGCTATCTGGGGATGCGCTGATGAAAACTGTGAGCTCACTGCCCGCTGCCCTTTGCATCACTGGCTAGTGAGAAGAGAGCACAGCCCTGGGGGACACAGGCGGTGGACAGTGTCCTTCAGCCCTCCTGCCTGCTCAGTGTGCAGAGCTTGATCCCCCTCCAGAGAATGAAAGAATTCAGCATGTTGCCACCTCACGTACCTTCACTACATGGTCATTTTATTGGTGATGACAATTCTGAACAAGGTCATGCTGTCAGTAGTTTCTCATACAGATGGCAACGGAGCAGCCTTGCACTGACTGACCATCAGGTAAAGCACCGATGATTGGTACCAGATTACTTTCCTGTTGTTCACAGGAATAACAGACTAGGAATAACAGACTAGGTAAACCAAACACGTTTTTTTTTTTTCACTAAGGCAAAAGGATATGAATTTCATATGCCTACTGTCATACAAAAGATCTTTAGCTTGTGTAAATGGCTATAGCCCTATCAGAGCTACAATAACTTACATCTGCTAAAGATCTGCTCCTAGGTGTTTGCACTCAGTTGCACCATTGACTGCAATGTTAACCATGACACACGTGAAACTTCTGCATTTATATCGATCCCAGTTTGACCTATTTCTTTCATTCCTTTTAATGTTTTAATGCACAATTGCCAGCACAGTTTTTGCAGATGGGTACACCTCAGAGTCTGGACTAGAGCACGCTTCTGAAATCTTAATCTCCCGGACAAGATGCAGTACTGGATATATGTTTAAATATATGCCTGTGTTCCTTTCTCTTCAACACTCCTCTTAGAAATAGTATTTTGTATTCTTTTTTATGTAAGTTTATTAAAAAGAGTAACATTTTATTCTTTAAAAAGTCGTGACTGATTGTCAAATTAGCTAAGAGAGTGTCTCTTTTCCTGTAAGGATCCTTTTAATTGGAAAAAAAAATAATTGTCAACGTTCTTGTCCTCACAAGCTATTATTCATTACCAGTGCAGCAATATAGAAAACATACCTTGGCTTAACTACAATAAAGGCGCTGTTTCAATATTAGCATCCTAAATTCTGTCACTGCAGATCTCTGTGCATTGCACCAGGGGAAGGAAAAAAGAAAAACAAAAAACTGTGTTCTTCAGGGGTAAATTATAGAAGACCTTCTATCTACAAACACAAATACTTCACTCATAACCCAAGCACCAGACCATTTCTTTGAAGAAGCTTATGAGGCATTTAAGATATACAATGGCACAATATCATACAATGGAATTGAAAGAATTTTCTTGAGAAACCATTAGCTTTGAAGGAATGTCTAGACAACTGTGTCAACAAATGCAAATAATTCATGCTTCTCAGCTTCTATCCAATGGATGGCCCCATGCTGAGTATACACAAACTCAGAAGAAAAAGGCATGTCACAGTCATATGACTAGGAAGTGTAACAGAGTCACACAGAAATTCAAGTCAATCTCAAAAAAAAAACCCTTCAGAAAGCTCTTCCCCAGGGTAAGCCAGCAGTGGGATAAGCTTCTGGGGATTTTGGCTAGTTTAAAACAGAGACTTACAGCTGGTGCACCCTGGCTTCAAAGCAGGGGCAATGGAAGAAACAGCTGTTAGTCATGACCATTCACTCAGTTAGAAAAATAAAAACTGACTCCAAAATACTGTACAACCTCTTGCAGTAACCAACAAAGTAGGTTCTGGAAACAATGCTTTTGCCAAAAATGCATCTGTAAGGCACTTAACCGGTATCTTTTTTTTATATGTATATATATATAAAAAAATAAAATATGCACCGAAGCAACATTCACAAATACCCAGATGTCTCAATTGTCTGTGTGTACAGTATAGTACATATATACATTCACTGTGACACAGGCCATCTCCATAGGTTATACCTTCACGGGTGCTTTAGGCTGCTTGGTTAACTTCAGCGCCTGTGAACAGTAAACAGAACAGTCACCTTTTTATATTCTTAAAAGACAACCAACAGCACAAGACAAGATTTTAATTTATAAAGGGCAACAAAATACTGTGTGCACTTCTGGGAGGCTGAGTGAGGAGTCAGCATGCAGCCGAGAGGCTACTCTGGGGTTTTTGATGATGTTTTCATCTCTGATAGCCCATCACAACCTTCTCATATACAGGTAGCCTTAACAGAGGCACCACAAGGGATATGGCTACAGTGGCAGTGAAGGAAGCGGAGGTGGGTCTCAGATGTTTTTTAGAAAGCAACTATTTGGACCCCACTCAAACCACTTGTGGCACAGATAGAAGAGCTTCTGACCCACTTAGGGAAGGACTGTGAAGAACATTTCTGCCAACACCTTTGTGTTCCCTGGCCTCCTTCCATACAGCTCAAAGCCTGCTCAGAGTATAGTCACTGCTGCAGTGGTGGATGTCACACACCCGTGATGTTTACATCCTCCTCTCTGAGAAAAGGTAAGAATATGCCAAAGTCCATCAGTCCAGAGGTGATCTTGTGCCAGGGGACACCTGATGGCACCTCCAGGCTACTCCTACTGAGGAAGAGTGAAACCACATGCCTTTATTTGATGGCAGGGTCCAGCTCTCTGTTCCCTGCAGGGTTGGCCAACTATGGTAGCTGAACTATTTATTCAGTGTGGGACAGAAGTTCAACTCAAATGATAGGTGATCATGCTTCTAGTTTGGCAGGAAGCAGCCTGTCTAACTTAGGAGCCAAATGTGACAGACTTAAAAGGTGTTAGGTTTTCAGCTGCTCCTCTATACCGATTACCACATCAGTGAAGGATGACCACAGCACTGTGAAGGATGCCAGTCATTGGTGTGCTCTGCAACACAAAAGCTCAGTGCTTTCCTGTGTGGGATGAACCAGCCTGAATGAGAGGGAAATTCATGAAATTTGGAACCTGTTTTCCCTAGCCTTTTGGGTGAAGTGCCCTGACACGCTAGCATTTGCCTGTTGAGTGAGAGACTTATCATTTCCAGAGGGTTGGCTAAACAAGCAGTTTTCAGTCTAAGAGATGCCTGATGGGTCTTCTTATTGTAAGTATTAACCTTTAATATTGTACATTTAAAGCTTGTAAACACTGCTTGAAAAACACTCCAGCACAAATGTAAACCCTTAAAAAAACTCCAAACCTTTAAAAATAAATAGGCTATATTCCCCTCAGAAACACCAGCTTTCAGAAACACCAGCATTTACTATTGTTAAATCTAGCCATTTGAGATTAGTCTTTTGGATATTATTCAGCAAGAGACTTTGGAGAGAGACATCATTCCACATTTTGTTTGGGGAAACAATTTTCTAACTTTGTAGTTTGGCAGATTCTGCTGCCATATTTACAAACTAGAAATACCTTAGTGTAGATGAACCTCTAAATATTTAAATTCAATTTCATACAACCAGATCACATGTACTATCATAATTAAGTAAGAATGTCACTGCAGTTGAGTACTGTGACTGGATAACCGTCTCCCCCTGCAAGAGAGATGCCAAAATGAAGCCAAGGTGCTTATAGAAAATAAACATCAAGGGTGATGATGACATGTTTATTTTCAAAGCGGGAGACCATTATCCAGTCACAACATTCACTTCTATTATACTTATTATAACTGTACCAGACCCAACCTCATTGATTTTTTTCAAAGAGTAATTAAAATAACATTTGTGAATAATACAGAAGACCAGCTGAAGAAACTGCTGCAACAGAACAACAATCCCCCAAAGTGGTTCTACAGTAGCGTTACAGTCTGATTAGCACAGGAGGTTTATTTGATGCTTAATGAATAAGAAACTAGTGCTGGTGAACTGTAAATCTCTCCAGTACTGGTTGACTTTTCTGATGCCCTGTTTAAAGGCTGTGTTAACTTGCAGCAACTGACAGCAGCCCCTAAAGGCCATTACCACCCCTGAGGATCAGGGAGGTCTGGATGAGCTCCAGCCCCATTACTGCTCTTAGCAGCAGAGAGCAGTTAGAAGCTGAAGAGAAGCCAGCATTGCAGGGATCATTCTATCACCGGTAGCGTCAACTTTAGGCTATCTTTCTGCAGGAATAGCATGGAATTTGCTTTACACTACCTGTAATGTTTCCTGATAATTTCTGATTAAAAAAAAAGTAATGACTTGCAGACTGGTGGAGGAATGACATGATTCTCAAATTTGCATTTTCAGATGCTGAGATAAGTATATCTTAACAAGATCTGATTTCTGCACTCAGTTCCTGAAAATTGAGAGTTTTCCTGCTTCTTACAATTCAGGTAACCAAAAATGGAGCCACATAAAAATCACTGAAGTGACTTTAGTGGAGTGAAGACAGTAAAATGGCAGCCTGTTGGGTTTTGCTGAAAACTGGAAACACGAAGTTATAAAAAAAAAATTCTCCACTGACAAGTGGAGAATGCAGGGTACTGGTGGCACTGGGCTTCCCACCTTCACCTAAAATGGCTGCCAAAGACTGCTTCAGTTACCACAGTTTCTTGATCCATGTTATCTCAGAACATTAAAGACAGCATTAAAATCTGTTGCACGGACTAGGTTTCTGCGAGGTGGTTACTGCTCTTCTGAGAACCTGACTAACATCATTGCAATTATTTCCTATAGATCACAGAATGGCTGTCAGGTGTCAATAGCTTCAATCTGTACTGAAATAAGCATAATTTGAATCAGTGATGTTGATGCAAAAACCTCCAGGTTATAGTTTATAGTCCTACAAGCTATCCTATGCCATAATTTTGGCACGAAATGTGATGCACCAGGCTTCTTGCTATTTTCAAGGGTGACCCAAGTAGGAAAAAAAAAATTAAAAAGTTTTCATCCTGCTTCAGTGCAATTCAGCAAGTGCCGTCATTTTACCTGATTTCCCCAGCTCCCCTGCCAGTGGACAGATCTTTGTCACTTCTCTTTAAGTGAGATCCAAAGCTGTGATTATCAGCTAAAGATGGAGCCATTCTTATTGGGCAGAATCTGAATTAATAAATTGAATAAATTAATAATTTGAACTAACTGTAGAGGTCTAACTTCAAGATTTGCACCTTTTCAGAGCCAAGGGGGATAAAGTTCAGAATTTTTAATTTTATACTACTGCGACTATCACTGTCATAAAGGAAGTAAAGAAACAGAAATCTCTACCATGGGATGTCCAAGAAGGAACCTGAGGAGTTTAAGACATGTTGTTTAGGTATTTTTTTTCCCTCACAGCACACTTTCCATTATAAATCAAAACCAGCAATTCTTACCTTTTGCCTAGAAACCATCCAAGATTTTATTGTTGGTACCAACAGACTGCCAAGAAGAATCTGAGCAGGATGATAGATGAGTAAGGGGACAGAAATTAAGGACAGGTGCTCATAACCCGCAAATACTATCTTCAGCATTGGAATCCCTGCGGGCAGAAAAACAGGAGACAGACTCTCACCTCAGACTCTGAGCTCCAGATAAAAGCAAAACATTTTATGTTGCATTGAGATTTCATAAAAAAACCCCAAAAACCTAAAGAAACAAAATGAAGGCAAAATGAAGTTTTATATAAAAAAAAACAACCCAAACAAACCAGCAAGAACATGAACAAAAAAAATACACAGCAGAGAAAGTACTGTAGCAGAAAGGAAGGAGTAGGGGAATGCCATAAAAGATCTTT